GGCTTTTGATAGGTGAAGCAACATATACAAGTCCTCATAGCCAAAGAGATAGAGAAGCGTGACTGAACACATGCTTTATAAGCCTGGGATTTTGGCTTTTCTTCTACTTTAAAAGATCCAAAGGTACATGGTACTTTAATGAAGAAGCACAGAATTAGAAAGAGGAAAGTATAAATTCCATATTCTGATCTCTGTAATGCCTACTGTCATATTAAACTTGTGTTAAACCTCTGTTTATTTAATACAAACATTATTTCTAAATATATCTACACCTAATAGACATTCTGTGTCTTCCATTTGTAACCCATATGACCTTTAACAAGCCACCTCTTCTTTCTCAACCTCAATTTCCATATCTGTAAAAGTGGGAGTCATGATAGTTGCACTATCTATGTTTTAAGGTCATAATGAGGATAAAATGAGATTAAAAATGAATTATTGTGTAAACCTTAAAGCACTACATAAATAATGTGAGTTGTTGTTGCTACTGTAATGTGCTAAATCCATTTGCTGAAAATCCCTGTGATCTAATATGATATTATGTGTGGTGCACTAAAGTTGGAAGTTAGGATTTTGTCACTTTCATTTGAAATGATTTTATTCTTGAAAGCCTAGTTAACTAGAAATGGCCATCTCTATACATCCTTCAATCACCCTCTCAAGGATCTTTCATATTTTCCAATCACTAGTTGTAAATTTTGTACTGAAATTTTAATAGATTATCTACCCAAAAAGGGAAGGATGTAGATAAAGCAAGGGTAAGTCTAGACGCTTTGTCAGCACCCACCTAGATATCCTGACAGTACCTCAGAAGAGTTCTAGAGTACATGGCACAGTCAAGATCCTGTGACCCTAGAAGGAAGATACTGTGTTTTGTTTTGTTTTGTCTGGCTCATGAAGCTATGTGCATGTGAATCACCAAAGTAAAATCTAAACCCATGTACATGAAATTCCTGTGTCCCAACCTTATATCAATTTCATTGGTATGAGGGGTAAATAATAATATGTCTAACTTAGAATTTAGCTCTCTCTACTCCTTTTTTGTTATAAGCAGAAGACTGAAAAAAAGAAGAAATGTATTCTAGCCCTTGGGAAGGGTTGAATAAAGGAATTGAATACAATGCACAGTGTGCTTGTTATATGTGATTAATGCTGCTCCCTTTTTCTTAGGCATTTACTCTTTAACTGAACTGTTTAAGTTATTAGTTCAAGTAATGGTAAAAATAAAAAACAAACAAAAAAAGAGCAAAGGCAAATTATGCTGCAATAGCTATGAGAATTGATTGACTGCTAACCATATGTCTTGGAGGCTTTGGCTTATATTCTTTTTTTCATTTAAATGTCTTAATTAAAGAATTATTAAGTTCTAAGTTGGTCAGTGTGGGCAGCTAAGGGACAGAGTGGTTGGAGTGTGTGACCTGGATACCAGAAGACCTGAGTTCAAATCAGACCTCAGACATTTACTGGCTATGTGGCCCTGGGCTAGTCACTTTACTCTATTTGTCTGTTTCTTTATCAGTAGCACCTCTCTCTCAGTGTTTTGAGGATCAAATTAGATCAAAGAACTTTGCACAGTGCCTTGCACATAGTGTTATATAAATGTTAGCTATAATAATAATTATTGCTGTTTAATGAAATAATTATTATTTACATATATTAATTTAACAATGTAACAAGATTTTATGACAAACTAGTTTAACTATACGTTTCACTGTTGTTTAGTGGTAAAGATTTATAATTGTAAGATTATATACTCATAAATTTAGAGGTAAAACAGACTTTGGAAGACATTGAGGCTAAGTCTCATTTTACTGAAGAGGAAACTGAAGCCCACAGAATCTGACTGACTTGCTAAGATTCACATAGCTAGTAAGTATCTGATGTGGTATTCAAACCCAGGACTTTCTGACACCAAGTAGGGCTCTGTGTCCATTACCTCCTGAATATCAGACCTTAAATCTGATCAGCATTAGTTGCTACCGGTATGGTACTGTGACAAAAGCATTAGATTTAGAAAGAGCCAACTTTAGTTCAAACACTGATTCTGCCACTTGTTATCCATGTGACATGGGGCAAGCCATTTGACCTTTCTGAGCCTTGGGTACCTCATCTGAAAAAATGAGATCTAGTACTCTAAGGTCACTTTCAGCTCTAAATCTATAATCCTATTTCCTCTGTTTCTTTGGGAAAATCAGTCAAACTCAGCATTACAATTTCTCCATCATTACAACGAAGGTATATATTAAGGCATCAATAAGGATTCATTCAGCTCTAAAACCTATGATGCTACAGTGGCAGTGAATAAAAATATTTTTCTCCCATGTGAATGGTTGGTATCATTACATAATCTGGGAAATGACCCAAATTATTCTAGATGTTTTAGTACATGACACAATTTATTGTAATGTATGGACATTGTTTTTTTTTTAATACAGTATTTCTTAGTATGTTTTTCTACCTCTTTTCCCACATGTTCATCCCTTACTGAAAAAGGAATCAAAGACAGAGATAAATACAGCAAAATAAAACAACAAATCAACCAAATTCAACATTATATTCGGTGTTCTGTACTGTAGTCCCCCACCTCTGGAATGAAGGAAGGGAAATATAGGTGATGGAGGCTCAATTAGCAAAGAGGAGTGTATTTCTCTGGGATGCCAGATACAACACTAAATAAAAAGACGCATCACTTAACTTTGCAGGGGGAGATGAAACAGTTATAAACCAACATGAGATTATTTAATTGGAGTTACAGACCAACCTGTACAATACAAAAGAGAATGGATTCTTGAGTTCTCTGGGAAACATTCTATGTATTCAATATATTGTAGATTCAGTGTACTACAGAAAACTTCAGAATGTGGAAGCACTCTGCTGTGGAAGTGAGTTTGGAGGCTACAATTATACTTGGCTAAGACAAAGCCCTGTAATCTTCTTCCTCTTAAATCTTGACTAATGGCACATCTTTTGGTTTAGAAAATATTTCCCACTTGCTGTAAATTGAGACAAATGTGGATGAGGTGGAGAGGAATAAAGGATAGAGAAGGGAGAGATGAGTGTACTGCAACAAATGACTAGAGTCATTCTAATTCTTAGGAGATAAGTATAACTAGGGGAAAAAAAAGTTTGAGGCAAGCCAAATGTATTTGTTGGAAGGTAAGTCCTATAGCCAAGATTCTCTGGCTTCAAGTCCCTGTGTGACTGAGCAAAACACTTCAATTTCTTGGTTTGCCATATTCTCATATTTCAAAAGAGAAGGTTGAACAACACCTTCCCTCCTAGCTCTAAATTGCATATCTATGACTCAGATAGCTTGTAGTATTGCTTTCTTCAATAGACAGGAAAATTGGAAAGTAAGCAAAACAGGCTTTGGTTGGACAAAGCATGTTACAAATTTCATTCGGTGAAGTTGACATATCTTCCTTCCATATAGAAGGACAGAATAAACCTAGTACCTAAGGAAGAAAATGAAAGGTGCCATGGAAGTAAGGCTCAAAAGAACAGTTCTCAGCTTGATAAGGACTTTGTATTATATGGCCAGAGGGTAGAACAGAAGGTAGGAAAGAATTTATATTTACTTCTGAGTTTCCTATGTCTATTCAAAATACCACACACTCTCAGAGATATTAGGAGAGACAGTGTGTCCAGATTATTATAAGTATCTCAAGTTTTAAATTAAATTCCAAGAAGATTCTAGATATGAAGTTAAAAGGAAGCAAATCTGTCCATCTGGGAAATCTCCATAAATTTCAGAATGCATTTATTTACTTATATGTCATTAATGTAAAGGTTAGTACATTTTAATTCAATTAGACAAACATTTATTAAAGATCTAATCTCTTCAGAGTGCTGCATTAGGTTTGAAAAACAAGCAAAGTTAAAATAGATATAGTTTTTGCATGCAAGGAACATTAAATATCTAGTATAGAATATAATAAATATTCACAAATACTTAGAATATAAATTTGAATGCACTTTAATAAAGAAGGGTGAAACCATTGAAGATTTCACATTTGAAAAATCAAGTAGGCTTGAGGTAGACTTCAGAGTGGAAGTGGCAGCTGAATTGGCTTTGAAAATAGAAAACAATATCTGCTATTTTCAAGTGCTTTATGGTTTGTAAGGAGTTTTACATTTGTGTATTCTAAGTTGAACCTCACATTAACCTGTAAAGTAGGCTTTACACTATGCTTTTAACCAAGCATAATTACCATTTTTTTCATTAACACAAAAGCACGTAATATCAACAGCAGTTGCCTAGGTTCTCTGTACAGACATGTATCTTTACAAGATGTTTATTGGAGAACAATGAATACAGTTTTTTTCTAAAGAGAGGTGGTCAGCTATTTGTAAGTTTTGGAGATGACATCAAAACTACAGCAAAGTTGCCTAGAGTGACAGTATAGCCCATAACAGAAATGTAGTAGCTGTTACCAGCCATCTTATTTGCTTCTTAACCATAGAAGTTGGGATGATGCCAGTAACCCCGGGACAGGGATCAGATGCATCAAGGCTGATCCATGTTGCTCAGTGATTTTGCAGAGGTTTATATAGGGTTTGCCAGTCTTATTCCCCTAGTAGCTATGGCCATTGGAATGGTGGACAGGTTGGCCATCATTGTCTAGGGACAGATTTCAGGTTGTCTTAAAAATGAGGCAAAGAAGTTTGAATTTTATTCAACTGAAAGAGGGAACCATTGAAGAGCCTTGTCCAGGATGATAGCACCATGGATAGTAACTTCTTCCTTGGAACATTTTAAGCCAAAGATAATTGCTAATGGAAAACAAACAAAAATACCTTGAACCAGTAGTTACTAGATCTAACTTGTTTCTGAAAAAGCACGATATTCTTGAATGAGTGCCCTTCCAACTCCTTGATTGGAAGAAAGAAAATGTAAAAATCTTCCCAGGACTTAATCTTCATGTCTTTGACTAGATGGTTCAGTATAATGACAAGAATCTATTTTTTTTTTCTTCATTATTTTCTCTCCTCCCAGGGTCTTGACTCAAAATTGGTTTATACTGAAGCCTGAATGGAAGTCACAGTCAGACTACAGAACCAAGGCCCTCAAGATTCCCTGCTTCTTTTATGGCATCCTTGTGGTATTGACCAGAATTACAATGCAGATTATTAAACCCATTTTCAAGTTGAGAAAACTGAGATTTCAAGAGATTAAGTGACTTGCAAATTAAAGATTTCATCAGGTATTAATGTGGGGGAAGTACTTTTCAGCCATGAAAAGCAACATATGCAAATTGAGGATGAGGTCAGGGATCAGTAAATAATGCATATAGAACATTGAAAGGGAATAATCCATTCTAGTGGATAAAGTTTGGCCCTTCTCAAAAGGTTAGGAAGGTGGTTGTTTTATTTGGAGTCTTCTAAATACAACTATCTTTTTACTTTGAACTATTTCCCAGTAGCACCAAATTCCAAAGTATTGAAGTAACATTGCAAATGTAGGGTAGTGACAAATTGTTGGGGGTCTTAAGAACCAGTCAGACAAGTTTAAATTTTATTCCATAGGCAAGAGGGAACCACAGAAGAATTTGGAGTAGACGAGTGAGGTAACCAAATCTATGCATAAGTAAGCATGATAGGTTACAGCAACAGCAAGTATGATTACAGTGGGGGCTATGTGGAAACTAAAATATGTTAGGAAGTTAATGGGATAGTGTTGCCAGCAAGTTTTCCATTTACTCATGTGACTTGTCTCCTGGAATAGTTATGAATGACAGGATGAACCAACCAGCTAATGAAGATGGGACATGACTAGAAGGACTACTAGCAAGTGCTATACTGTGTAAGGGATACAGTCTGACCCATCATATCTATAAATTTATCTTCCTTTTAAAGGAAGTTGGGGGGATTCAGTCTATGTCCATTGTTGTGAGTCTTCTACCAAGAATACTATTTGCATTTACTCTGAATCTTCCTATTTAAATTTATTCTTTTTCTTTTGTCCATTTTGTAGAGAACAATAATCTGTTTTTATGAGGCCATTTTTTATTTGATGCTTAACAAGCAAAAAAGGCAGTTAAACTGTGAAAGTAGAAGTTTTTTATAAAAACACATTTCCAAAAGTTATATGTTTTGACCATAAAAAAAGACTATAAAAATTGCATTCATTTTTACATCAGTCAGGTTTCTTTTTGATAGAGCAGGTATGAATGTGAGTGTGTAAAATTTGGGCCTTCTCAAAATGTAACAGGAGGTTGGAAATGTGAAAATGTTATCTGGAAACTTCTGAAATCAAATATTTCTTCACTTTGGGATATTCACCAGTACTATCGAATTGCAAAATACTTAATGAAGATAGGTTATATTCTAACATACTTCCACTTAACAAGCATTTTTCCCTTGTGGTAGAATGAGTCTGCTATTGAAATTTTTTAAACCATATTTAAGTTATAATAAATGGGTAAATCAGGGACCATATATTAGCCATCTATAATTTATTTTACAGAGCTACTATTAAATCAAAATTATTTTGAAATCTGCTAGGAATTAAAAATTATATAAGGATGGTTGGTGGCAGGCATCAACATGGTGGTAAACAGTCTTAAGTAGGAAAATGTGTCATCCCACATTAGACATAAGGTAAAATATAATAAAAGAGGAAAAAAATCAAGTACTAAAATATCCCACATTGGATATAAGGGAAAATATAATAAAAGAAAAAAAATCAAGTACAGTAGAATTCCTGTTCTAAATGTGTGGCCTAAAATCACCAAATTACATTAAACCATCCTAGCAAAATGTTCTTCAGATAAACTTGAGGAAATGACTCTGGGAAAAAACCTACTGATATAAAATGTATATATATATATATATATATATATATATTTGTTCTTTAATACATCTCAAATTCATAAAGTGGAGTAAGAAACAAATCAGAGAAGAACATTATCCCATTGTAGGATATAGGGCTCTCAATAAAAACTATTTCTTAATTTTCATTTCATCTAAGATAATAACTTCTGGATAAACTGGTTTCTGTTTTATGAAAATAGCAATAAAATAGAATCATTTATCAGAAGTCAAGTATTGAATGCCCCATCATACTTCTTGAAAGTTGTTTTATAGGTAGAGCAAGATGGTCCATACCTCTAATCCAAGTTAATCTGAGGCTAATGGTTCTCTATTAGAGCTAGAGTTCTGAGCTGCAGTAGATTAAGTTGATTGTCCATGATAAATCCATCAGCAATACAGAAAGGCTACAGAAATAAGGGGCAAAATGTGGGCTAAGGAAAGGCAAACTGGTCTCAGTCAGAAATGGAGCACATAAAAACTCCCATGGTGATCAGTAGTGTCATCAGTAGGGATTGCTGGAAAATTAATATCCACTGCACTTCTAGCCTGAGTGAGATAGGGTCTTTAAAAAAAAAGTTGCCTTGTAATACTTGGAAATATTTAAAAACCATCTAAAAAGAGTCTGTCTAAAAATGTTGTTTAGTGTGAAAATTCTGATTAGAGAGCTGGAAGGAGATTTCCTCCACTGTTACTCATTCTATTTTTTTTCCTACTTAAAAAGTAAAAGAGACTACAAATGTGACATTTTTTTTTCTTCAGGTAATATTTTTGGAGTGGAGATGTCAGAGCAAGTTCTGGATCTGCTTCTGAGACTGACTTTCAGCAGTTTTCTCAAAGCAGGTCAGACTAAAATCCCATACAGTTTTGAATCTGTATCATACCATATGCATCATGTTTTCTAATATGAGGCAGACAATCATTTCCAGCTATAAAACAAGATACTAACAATGCACACAGAAGTGCAGAATATAGCTGTCAAGGACCTAAAGATCATGTTACCCAAGCCTTTCATGTCATAGACAAGGAACCTGATGCACACCAAAAGCAAATGACTTAGCTAAAGCTTTATAACAACAGCAACAACATCAGGAACACAAATTCAGATATCTTTATTATATGGTCAATTCTTCTTCCACTGAATTTTAACTGGTAAAGATTTCTTGACAAGGTCTTTCATGTACCAACTACAAATGGCAGTTGAGTACAGCTAAAATAACAAAGCTGGACTTCCCTACCAGGGATGTGAGGTAATATATGGAAAATCATCAAATTCTTTTAACTAAAGAGCTCCTCAAACCCAAGGTCTACATTGAATAATACAACTTTTGGAGTGAATGAAAAGTAATAGGATACATGTTACTGATGATAATTATATGTTGACCTGAGGATATTCCCAAGAGAGGTAATGGATACTGTGTGGCAATTTTGCCTTATTTAATAAAATAGTTACACTAATAATAACTAGAATGTATATAGCACTTCAAAGATCGCAAATATTTTACAATAATTCTCATTTTATTTTCATGACAACTCTGGGATATACGTGGGATTATTATTCCCCTTTTACAAATGAGGAAACTGAGGCAAAGAGATGTAAGGCATTTGACCCAGATCACACAGCTGTGCAGTGTTTGGTACTGGATTAGAATTCAGGTCTTCCTGACTCCAAGTCCAACCACTCTGCTACTATCAGTTCTTATCTGAGAACTCAAGGCATTCATGTGGGCTCTGTAATGAATATGAGTGCCACAGCATTGTAGTAAATAGAGGATGGTTATAAATTAATAAGACTTCCTCTCCATGGCTTGAAATGCTGTTGCAAACAGTTTGGGACATTTTTTTAAGGTTGGATGACTAGCTAGTGGTGGAGACACAACCAGAACATGAGGTTCTGATTTCCAATCCAGGGATTTTCCGCTACATGTTCCTGCCTCTCCACTGAGTCAACAACTAACCAAAGCTTTTTCTTGCCACATCCCTTGCACTTTTGTCCCAAAATAAATATGATGTTGGAACATAAAAAGGAACATATTGTAAGCCAAGGGAGTTGTACAAAATTGTAGCTGAATGAACCTAAAATCAAAAATAGTTAAGATATTTAAGGGACACAGGAATTTTTTTAAACAAATACTTGAATCAAGCCTTTTCATTTTTATTGCAAATTGATTTAAATTGATTCCTTAGGAAAATTTTAGAAATATGTGTAGCTTATGTAGACTTTTCAAACTTTCATTCTCTAGGGACTTTTCCATGTAGTCTTTATCAAAATTTGCATGCCCTGTGTCCCAGGCAAACAATCATTAATCAATGAACTTTTATTAAGCACACATATGTTCCAGGCAGTGAGCTAAACACTGGGGATACAAAAAAAGATAACAGACAGTCCCCCCCAAAGTGCACAATCTAATGGGGGAGACAACATGAAAACAGATATATAAAAATAATCTTTATACATGATAAATAAGAAATAATATTAATAGAAGACACTAGAATTAATAAGGGTTGAGAAAGGCTTACTGAAAAAAGAAAAATGATGCCTCAGCTGATGCTGAAAGGAAGCTAAGGAAGACAATAGAGCAGAGAAAGGGATGTCAGCTAGTCAGAGAAATGTCCTGTAGTGAAGATATGGAGCGTCTTGTTCATGGAACAGCCAGAAGGCCAGTGTCACTGGATCAAAGAACACATGGCAGGGAGTAAGGTGTAAGAAGGTTAGAAAGGTGTGTGTGTGTGTGAGTGTGTGTGTGTGTGTGTGTGTGTGTGTATGTGTGTGTAAGGTTATAAAGTGCTTTGAATGTCAAACAGAGGATTTTGTATTTATTCCTGGAATTTACTGAGTAGAGGTATGACATGGTCAATCCTGTGCCTTAGGAAAATCACTTTGATGGCTGAAACAGAATAGATTTTTTGGGGAAAGACTTGAAGCAGGCAGACTCAATAGCTGACTATTGCAATATTCCAGGCACAAGATGATGAGGACCTACATCAGAGGGATGGTAGTGTCAGAAGAGATAAAGGGTCACATTCCAGACATGTTACAAAGATAAAATTAGTGAGTCTTGGCAGTCCATAAGGTCTCTGTTCCTTGCTACTTTCCATGGTGATATTTGGTTAATATAATAAAAAAAAAAATCTGTGCTACTATGTTAGTTCCTCCCTTTCCCTAGCTAAGGTATATTAATTTAATAAAGAAGCTTGCTAGAGATGTTGCATTTACTAAAAGGAGGGACTTTAATGGTATCAGATTCATTTGCAATAACAAGATTTGAGGATTTGGAGGTAGACAGAATGTTCCAGTATACCTTATCATGCTAAGCAGTTGTCCACCAACTCTCACTACATTGGTTCTTCCCTAGAGAGGATATTCATAACTTTAAATCTGTAATTACTAAAATTCTGCTTTCTTCCTGTCCTTCATCTTATCCCACTGTCAATATAATAAAAACAAAAACATGAAAAGCTCAGAAAATATATTAGGTTTTAATTCCTTGGACCTTGGGTATCCCATCTGTGGTAGAACCTTGTATGGAATAAGAGAAGGTAAATCCTTTATCAGATAGTCTGAGAATGACTTTAACTCTGACACTGACCAGCATCACACATACCAAAGAACTCTTTGTGACATCAAATCAAGGCAAGTACAATTTAGGAGATGCTAAGGGATTTGGCATTTACTGGAAAAATCAGTGCATTAGATGACAATTAATGAGGAAAAAATGCTCATATTACCATTGGGACATTCTTAATCAGTCATCAAAAGACAAGCTCTGTTTGAGTGACATACTATGCATTGCATTTGGAAAAAAAAAACATCTAAAGCATCTTATAATTTGGTTGTTAGGATAAGGCTTAAGACATATAAAATAGGACCACGAAGTCCTCTAATTCAAGTGAGCAACTCTAAAATTTCTTTCTCAGGGAACACTAAGCATCACCACTGTAATTCTAAGCCATGAAAGCAGCATTCTTATTGGCAGGTGTAAATTACTTAATCTCTTCTTAAACAGCACACTCTACAGACAACAAAAAATGTATCATATTTTCACTTGGGAATAGTTTGCTCCATGATTTAAAGCTCCAACAGCCATCATTATCAACTCCCCAAGAGAATTTCCCTCAAAAAAAAAAAAGTTCCTGCAAAGCATGAAATTACCAGGAAATACTAAATCAAGAGTTTTTAGCCTTTTTATGTCATGGACCCATTTGTATTAGTGTAAAGAAGCCTCTGGGCTATTTCTCAGGGAAATAAAAAGGTTTTAAAAGCATTAAATAAAATAAAGATGCAAAGCAAACTAATTATAAATATATTAAAATGCCTTTAAAATAAAATAAAAAAACTTAGCAAACCTCTGATTAAGAACCCCTGTTCTCAATGGTAAATTATATTCCCTGCCAACTATCAAATTCCTTGGAGAGTTCTACTCCTGTCAAAATGGACTTGCAATACTGATCTTGTGTAACTACAATAGTAATTAGCATATTGCTACAAGAAGATAATCTGGCATTTAGTTCAAGTTCACAATAAATGAAGTTTTTACTACATTTGACTTCACTCTAAGTAAGTTTAACATAAAATGGTGAGCCATGGACTGCAGAGAATACAGGAAAAGATATTACATTAATTAAGTGTGGAGAAAACAATTGCTCAGTGAAGGGTGAGGGAAGGGGCAAAAATAAAAGCTTTTTTAAAAAAGAATTAATAATCTTGTTAATAACAGTGCTATTATAGCCCCTTATTAATGTTGACTTGGAATATTCATCAAGCGTTGGCATAAGGCTCACAACATACGTCTTAAGGCATTAGATGACAGATTCAAAAAAAAGTTCCATTTAATATTTTTTCATAAAATGTTTTGTTGATAGATTGATTATCTGAGAGGAACCTTTAATGTACTACATAGAGTTCTGGACTTGAAGCTTATAAGACCTGAATTCAAACCTTTCCCCTAATACTGTGACAATGGGAGAATCAGTTAACTTTTGTAAACCTCAGACAATTCTCTAAGGTCATATATTTTAAATTTGTAATATCTATCAATAGACAGAGCTCTCAGATACAATAAATCCCAGGTTCTCAAAATATCATCTGATATTTTCATCTGATCCTGGGATTTGGAGGTTGATAATTTGCTTTGCAGAATGTGTGTGTGTGTGTGTGTGTGTGTGTGTGTGTGTGTGTGTGAGAGAGAGAGAGAGAGAGAGAGAGAGAGAGAGAGAGAGAGAGAGAGAGAGAGGAGGCCTTCCTTGTTTGAGTGTTTTTAGCAATCCAAGGACATGAGTCATTTGGAATGTGTGTACACTTTGCTAAATCCAACCAAATGCAAATGTCTTACTCACTTAGTCTTTTCCTTCTGTTTCTTGTCTGGGATTCTTCAAATGCAAGGAAGTACATGAATCTTTTAGAAGTAAGATGGAATACTGAGATAAAAAGTTAGATATAATCATAATCTGAGCCACCTGAATGTCTTTATGATTAAAGGAAGAAAAGAATAAAACTGATGGTAATGTCAGTTCATCTCATCATAGCAGGAACTTCTGAGGGAGTCTATGTTATATTCATCCTCTCCCTCCTCCTTTAACTATTCTCTGGTTCAGGAGATGGTTGAAGGGGTCAGAAGGAGACTTTTAAGCTCCATGTTTCCAATCTAGATGTTGGCTGTTAAGATTTCTATTCCAGGCACAATTCACTTACAGTTAAATCAATAAACAACGAACACCCAAATTGAATTGAAATGAGTATTAAACCAGGGTGGCTTCCAATGGTAATTGTGAGGAAATCAATAGGGTTTGACCCCTATACTAAATGAGAACACATATGTGGTAAAAGTAGATTAATGCTGTAGGAAGGTGAATTATGTTCTCTTTTTATTTCATCAGAGTTTCATCTAAGCAACAATGAAGGAAGCCTTCAATTTCAAATTCTCGGGGGGATTCAAATACTTTCTGAGAAAAAGGGTGGCTGTTCCAGGCATGAAATGAATGCTGTGCTTAGCAACAAGTCAATGCACTCTAAAGTTCTTGCAAAGGAAAACAATTTTATGAAGGTTCCTAAGGTGAAGTACTGTGAACAATACATTAATATGTATTTTCCCCTAAATACTTCTGGTTCTCTTTTCCACTTTTCTGGTGTTATCTTTAGCAGTTAATGGCCATACTTCTATCTGGTCCCATATCATTAATTTTGATCAGATGTTTTCTCCTCTCAGGTCCCATAAGTGAAAAATTCCAAACACAATGCCTAGATTAGCACAAAAAAGCTAGCACATAAAGTACAATCTTTTAAATAATCACAGTCAGTAACAGTAATGCTAATAAGATGCCATGATAACAATAATAATAATAATAACATTAAGAAGTCTTACCTTCCAATAAAACTTGTTGCTTTCAAAACGACCTCAAAAAGCCTTTGTTAACTGGCATACTGGGCCATAAAGCTAAACAGAAGTCACATCAGATCTAAAATGAGATTCGTATACTGCTTTATTTGCTCTGATTAAGCCATGCTTTTGTTTGTGCTTTTGAAGTATAAAGAAAAGAAAAACTGAGGGTATTTATACATATATACGTTACAATATATTTGTCTCTATGTATGTACGTATGTATATGTCTACCATTCTAGCTAAATAAAGTTTAATAATTATCCTATGTGATTTCTCTTTTGTTATTCCCCTGTGTTTCCTGTGAGATTTGTCAGTAATTTTATAGCAGGGGGCATAGGAGGAATGGCTGCAACCAATAAGCACTTTCATACTTCACGGGAGTAAGCACATTTTAATTTTCCACAAATAGCTATGTCCAGCTAGGTTTTTTTAAATTTTAACACATAAACTTAATGATATGATCTCTTCTTTCTGTACAGAATGACTGGCTAGTAGGGGAGGGGTTGCTGAAGGCCCCAGCAAAGTCAGTTCCGTACATGGATTACACAATTAAACATTTGTATTCAGTTAAGGATTATCAGCAACATTAGTTTCTAGTACATCTTAGAGAGAAAAATTCCAGATAACACAAATTTTACTGTAATCACTCCAAATCTTTTAATTTGTAAGAATCTTAAAGAGGTTTTATTTTTGGTAGAAGAGGTAACTTGAAGGCACAGTGAATGAAATGTTAGACCTGAATAAGAAAGACTGGGATTCTAATCTGGCCTCAGACACTGGCTGTGTGACCAGGGGCAAGTCAGCTAACTTCTGTCATGAACAGTTTCTTCATCTGGAAAAAAAAAAAGGAGGAGGGAATAATAGTAACACCTAGATTTAGATTCTATTAGATTCTCTCCCCTCCTCTTCTTGTGTGTGTATGGGGGCAGGAACATCTATCTATGGAACATCAGAGAATATAGTAGAAGATTCTATTAGATTCTATTTAAAGCACTTTGTAAATCTTAATGTGCTATATAAACACTAGTTATTAAAAATACATTCTGCTAAACAGAAGTCACATCATATCCAAACTGCCTCTTACTGCCCAAACCAAAGTTTGGTCTTCTGAAGTATAAAGGCAAAGGAAAACTTTCCATTACAATTTATATGTATATAGGTATATATGTATATGTATACATATTATATATATATATAATATGTGTGTATATGTGTGTGCATATGTATGTATGTGTGTATATATAGATATACACAAATATATTTATAGTGTGTGTATATGTATGTGTATTTGTGTGTGACTGTTGCCTCATTGACCTTAGTGTTTGAAGACTAAATAAAAAATGAGGACTCACTGGGAGGAGAGATGACAATCACACTTACAGATTGATGAGTCATCTTCCTTCCTACTCTAAGTTGAGCAAAAAATACAACTCACTCCCAGGAACTGGTATGCTTTCAGTGCTATAAGAGTATTAGTTCCAGTTGCTTTAAGGTGCATATAACTATGCCAGTATCCCACCCCATAAGGATTGTTATAATAACCGAGAGACTGATGCTCTGACAGAAATAATGGGACTGATTGGCCACTTATAGATACAACATAGTATTCAATTATAATTAATAGATTAAGTGGGCCCCGTGGGTTCTAGATTTCTTTAAGTACCCAGGTACTATCTCGAATTTGTAGCTGAGATGAGTGATCTGTGGAATCTGCTTCAATTCAGCCTAGAACCCTCTGGAACCTGTCATAGTATCTCATAACCCCAAGGGAGACTAAGACCACCATGACTGTCTAGTTCTTCCAGAAGCATTGGGCACATGCCTGGTCTGAGAATACAGGAGCAATAAACTCGAATCAGTATACTGGATCACCTTGATTCTGAGAAAAACTTCTCTGGGGAGTTCTCAGAATGTGGACTATGACAAATCGTTTAGGGAAATTTAGGCAAATATCATTTTTTTTCACTCCCCGAAAAAGGTGAGTCTTTGCTCCTACATTTAGAATAGGAGATAGCATCACTTCTAAGGCATGAAATCATTTTTGGCAGGTGGGGAATACATCACTCACCAAGAACATTTCAAAGAGGTTGCTAAGAGTAATATTGCCTTAGTCTCATACTGATAATTTACCACTGAAGGAAGTAATTATTAAGGGTCTTTCATTGTGAATCTTTTTTTTTGCTTAAGCTGTGGGAGTCTATAGCTTACCTACATTTAAAGGAAATTGTATAAAATGCATAAGAGGAAAAAAGATAATTTTCAAAGCCACCCAGTATAAATTGATATCTTTTCATCTCAGAGACTCTCAACCATTTTTGCCTCACCTATTTTTTTGAAGGAGAGGGAGAATTTGGGGAAATAATAGAAGAGAAAGATTTATATGGCTTTTCCAGGCTTTAAGAATAGTTCTTTCCATATCTGAGATCATTTCTGGAGGTATTTCCATTCATAAAACCACAAAATATTTTATGCCTTTCCCTCATAAGAATTTTAATAGGAAGGAGAATAAAAGTACAAAAGAAGGTCATAAATAAACTTCTTTGGGATTGCTATTAACCAAACTCTTTGGACTAAGGAGAGGGTCCTTGAAACTTATCTTTTGCCCTCTCCTTTTCCCTACCCCTCCTTCATTCTCTCCCCTCCTCTTCTTGTGTGTGTATGGGGAGGGGGAACATCTATCTATGGAACATCAGAGAATATAGTAGGTATTTGTTGATGCAGAAATAAGTTCAGGAGAAAGATAAAGATATGAGGAATATTGGGGAGACCTATAGATATCTGTATATCTGAAAAAATAGAGATATATCTATAGATATATAGGGTAGTGAGGTAGCACAATGGATACAATCCTAGGTCTGGAATCAGGAAGACTGATCTTCCTGAATTCAAATCTGGCCTCAGACATTACCTGTGTGACACTGGGCAAGTCACTTAACTGTGTTTGTCTCAGTTTTCTCATCTGTAAGGAGCTGGAGAAGGAAATGGCAAACCACTCCAGTATCTTTGCAAAGAAAACCCCAAATGAGGTCATGAAGAGTCAAACACAACTGAAAAGTGACTGAACAATGTGTATATATGTATGTGTGTGTGTATATACATACACATATATGTATGTATACACACAATGAATAAATATTCATGTATATATGAATATGTTTGCATATCTATCTATACATATATTCATATATAGGTATGCATCTGTGTTTATATTAGTGTATATTATATGTAATAATATGTAACTATGACATAATGTGGAGAGAGAAAGAAACAGAGAAAGAGAGAGAAGGAGAGAGAGAGAGACAGAGAGAGACAGAGAGACAGAGAGAGGGAGAGACAGAGAGAGATTTAGAGTATCCCAAAGGAGCAGGTAGTCAACAGATTGAAATATTACAAGGTCAAAAGGGATTTAATTAGGGCAATAAGAGTAAATTAAGCAACAAACTCAATTTTGTGTAAAAATTCAAACATGCAAAACCACAATAAATGGGTATAATAATCTTTTCAACAGTGAGGAGGAGAAGCAATCTCTCAGAAACTCACACAAGGTGAAAAAATATTATATTACGTAAATGAGCCTATTGAGAGTAATTTCTCAAATTTGACAGGTATTTGCTGACACCTCTGTCAGCATTTGTTTATAGTTATTTGCTTCTTGGTTCTATCTCTCTCTGTTCACTGGGCATAGACCCAGCATTCCCTTGCCTTGCCACTCTACTCAGAAACCATCTGATGTTGTTCTGTCTTCCATTGTTGCTCTCTACTCCAAAAGTGCTGTCCAATGCTTCTATGATGAGCTGCTGCTGCCATCTGCTAAACTGTCATCTGCTGCTGTAGCCAATTCTTCTTCCTTAAGGCAGTGTTTTTGCTCTTTCAGTGTGAGATTGACTTGTGCCAATATTTTGTGGATTTAATCAGAACATTTTCAACATTTTTCTTAGTCAGCCCTATGCTTCAACTGGCCTAGCCAGAAAAGAATCATTCAGTGGGCTGTCAAGACCTGGATTATTTTCCTCTCTGACAGAAAGATTCACACATCTCACTCATAGATGGGTTAGGAAAAATAAAATGCTTTTAAATTTTCCCATACTCTGGTTTCAGGCTATGTGACCATTGCTGTAGCTTGTACCCTTTCCCCCACTAAGTCTCTCTGAGTCTGAAAATAACATATATCCTTTGTAATTTACCATAGCTGCATGGAGCTAGTGTCTATGTCATTCAAATTGTCTTGGAATTTGATACACTTCCAGAAAGTTCTTAGCAACACTGGAGGGGCAGAACTCTCAGGTTTTGTTAGTCATTCTGCTGCTGTGGCAAACATTCATTTTCTTCTTACTATTGTTAAGGACAGGGCAATAGAGTGTTAGAGACACAACATTTGCATTAGGCTAATTCAAAGCTTATAAATAACAACTGTGGGAGGCCTAATAACTAACATTTTTTTGATTAATGATTGTTCAAAATCTATAATAACTATCATTGGAAAAATTGATATACCCCTGCTTTACCTTCACGTCTTTCCAAAGACTCTTGTATTACAGAACTTGAATCTAGTGTTAACAATGAAGCAGCAATATTTTCATTTTCTGTTGGTCTTCATTGGACTACTGAGTTCCAGGAGAGCCTCCTTATTCAATTGTTCTAAACTTCCTTTCTTCATAAATCATTTTACAGATTCTTGATATGAAGGGATAGCATCTCTATGCAGCAATACACACTCAATTGGTAAATATGTGGTCTTACTGAACCAGGCCCACATATTTAATTACTATTGTAATTTTAACAGTTTCTTTTATTAATTTACACATAAATTTTCATCTCACATTCCAAAAAAACTCATGACTAATTTCAATATTGTAAAATATAATATATGGTAAAATCCAAAGTACAATAATCTCAGGCTTGTCATTATCATCACTGACAGAGACAGAGCCAGAATTGGTCTACTGGTCATTCAAACAACCTTTTTCAGATTGTTCCCTAGGGAAAAGGCTGAGGCCAAGATGGGGTTATTTCCTGAAAATGCAGACGTCTGATAATTCCTTTTATACAAAAATATAGTTCCTTTTCCTTGCTTTTTTTTCTTTTCTTTTTGTCCTTTTACACCATAGGAGAGTTTTAGATAATTTAAATGTAAATAAATTTCATAAATACTAGTAATTGAAAGAGAATGGGAAATTTGAATCAAAGTTTCTTCACTCAACAATTCAATTGGGTTACTGAAAGTGAAAAAACATTACATGATGGAAAGAAAAT